GCCCCCGCCTTACTCGCTCCGCCCGCCGGGGCGGTGCCACCTGCCCTCCCCGCGGTGCGGGGGTCCCCGCGGGGGGGAGAAGCACGCTGCGGGTGTGGAAGAGCCGGCGGGTTATGCTTGCCGTATCCCACGAGGGTTTTTCTGGGGGGAGGGGCTGTTAGGGCTTTGGTTAGCTTTTTTTTCACCTAATCGTCTCTGTTGTTATCCAGCGGGAGCAGCGGGTTTTTTACCTTTCAGCCACGCCGGGCTTCGCTGCAGCTTTCCCGAGCCAGCCCCTGTGCCTGCTGCGCTCAGTGGGATTTCACGGGTGTAGAGGAGGACGGGTTGCAGGCCGGGGTAAATTTTTGCAAAGTAAGCGGGTTCGCAACGATATGAAATGCGTTTCCAAAGATGTCGGGACACCTGCAGGCCTCCCTGTTTTGAGTGGGATCCCCCCCCCACCACCCCCGCAGGCGGCGGCAGGCTCGGGTTGCCTTCCCGCCGTAGGTTTGGGAGAGCTGAACGGACCGACCTCCGCCGGTGCGCAGCCCCTCCTTCCCCCCCGCGGTAGGGCAGAGGCCTCCCGAGGTGCAGTACTTTGCAGCCGGTCATCTCAGATCGCACGTTGCAGGCCAAGTCGCCGCCGAGGGCTTCGCCAGCCCGCGCTCCCCGAGCCAAGCGCAGCAGGCGCGCAGCCCGCCGTCCTGCGCGTCCCCGGGGAAATCACGGCGATTTGCCCGAGAGCACTTGAATCGCGCACGCTCGGCTGGATTTATGGCCTGGCCGATGCTAGCCAACGCCGCCTGTTCCTGCACGGATAGAGTCCGAGTAAAGTCGGGGCGGTTGTGCAAGCCGAGAAAGGAGGAGGCCCTGGAAGCGTTACCGGCAAGCGGTGTGATCTCAGCGGAATATTTCTTACGGGCCGACCCGGGGGCGACCCGAGGCCAACAACCTCTCGGAGGGGGGGGAGCCGGCTCCTCCGAGGCGCCGTGCCCGCCACGAAAGCGGAGCGTGCCCCGGGGGGTGCAGGCAGCCCCGGGGGAGCGGCGCGGAGAGAGGGGGAAGCTTGCTTTGCCGGGTACCTCGCGTGGCACCTGCACCCCTGCAAGCTTGGGGGGGGGGTACATCTCCGCGAGGTGGAGGCAGTGCCCGCGCTTCTTGCTGGACGAGGAGAGGGTCTGCGGCGGCGGGGGGGGCGGGGCAGGCTTCACTTCTCGCCGTGAGGAGGCAGTGATTTAAGGAGAGCAGCCCGAGGGGCCGGGGGGAAGAGCCGCCCTTCTGCCTTCCCCTTCGCCCCTCCCCAGGAAGGCGCCGGGCAGCGCCTGGCGCCGCGGAGGCTGCGCGCCCGCGGAGGTTGCGCGCCCGCCGCCGGCCCGCCGCGGTCGCGCGGTTTACGGGAACACAACCGGACTGCAAAACAGATGCTCCGCAACCCGTTAAAGCGGGCCACCTGTTTTTCACATCACGCCCCATCTCAAAGCCGGTTTTCTTCATTATGTCCCTCCCGACAGATAGCATGAAATACATCACTCATTTAGATATGGGAGCCGACCTCTGGAGGACGACTTGCGCGGAGCACTTTGATGTTGAGAGGCAGATTTCAAAAGACAGAAAGCCCCTTCCATGTTTCTAATTACCCCGCGCCCGGGGCCTGCCACTGATTAGAGCGGCGGTGCCGGGGCGAGGCGGGCGGCCCGGCTGGGCGAGGAGGGGCCGCCCGCCGCCCTAAACCGCGCTGCCGGGAAAGCCGACACGGGGGCAAAAACAGAGCGACCGACTAAAGCCAACGGCGAGCTGGGGCGAAGAAACAGCCCGTGCCGGCGTGGAAACGCAGCAGAAGCCTTTTTCTGCATCCCCCGCACCGCCGGCCTCCCCGCCGCCGAAGGAGATTTAGGAGCAGACGGTATCTGCTCCCGCAGCCAAGGCTCTTTCGCAAGACGGTGCGCTGAAAGCATTACAGACCTTGCTAGCGGTTCTGCTCACATGCGAGCCTTTTATCTCGGCAGCGCCGTTGGAAAAGCTGAATCACCGCGGAGAGAGGGCGGACTGAAGGGTATTTTTTCATATGCAACAGGCTGCTCTTTATTTGATCTTCACAGTCCCTATTTCTATCAATATTCCTAAAGCTGAGGGATCAAACACGGACAAATTAAAACCATGCTACCACGCTAAATAAGATTAAGATCGTGGCAATATATTGACTGCTCCCTGGGGAAACAGTTTTGTTGCTGCAGGAGCCGTGGCCGTCCTGGAGGCAAAGCTTGCCTTTCAGGAATGGGTGACGGGAAAGGGAGGTTTGGTTGAGTCTGTATCCAGACCCGGCCAGGAGCAACTGCCAGTGCCCATGCTCCTGTCCCCCTCTGTGTTCCCAGCCCAGCCGCCTGGGCATCGCTGGGCTGTGGAGTCAATGAAATGTGCCAGGCTAAGCTCGGCTATCCCTGGTTTTACACCCACAAGCAGGCATCTTCAGGTGAGCCCCACTGTTGGTCTCAAGGGATTTTGACTCCAGGCCCCAAGAAAGAAGTCCCGCATTTTCAAGTGCGCGTAGCTTCACAATCTCACTTAAAAACCACAACGGGAAAAATGTTGAGTTGGTATCCTTCAGAGCTTCTGCTGGGGAGGTTTGTTCTTCCAGAAGTGTTCTGCGCTCACATCACTCCCCTTTGACACTTAAGAGTTAATTTGCTTTTGAGAGGACTTCATAACCTGTTGAATTCCTGGCCACCTGTTTTGGCTGCTTATGTGGAAGGAGAGCTTTTCTTGGAAAGCCCAGCCTCAGCCGCGAGGCCAGAAGTCCCTTGAAAATGCAAGTCCATGTCCTGCATGCCTTTGCGC